AAATACTAAGGGATCAATAATATCTCACCCTTTCCGTGTTACCAGCAAGTGGAAACTTAAGTAGAAGACAACATGAATGGTTTTGCAATCTCTTTGCTTCTCAAATATTCATTTGAATGTTTAGCTTTGAAATACAACAAACATAATAAAGAAATGTAGTTGAACGTCTTTGAAGAAGATGAACACAACAACGCAAAAGGAAAGCAAACTCCAATCTTCCCAATCATTACAAGTCACGAACTGGGACACTGTAAATTAAAAGTTGAAGGGTCGATTCGAACAACAGGAATGCACTTTAGCGGATGAGCCATGGTTAGGCTAACTCATGTAATAGCTTCCTCCATGTTGACCTTATCTCCTTTGATTCTCCATCATTCCAATCGCGGTTCCTAGAAAGATATAGGCTAGATTTGATCCAGGACAACCTCTCCTTCCGCCGCCAAAAGGAAGGCACTTCAATGCTTGCTCTCTTACCTCATCTTCTTGTTCTGATATCGAAGAAGGTAGAAACCTCTCTGGCCTAAACTCATCAGGATCTTCCCTAGAACTAGGGTCTCTCATCAGAGCATATACATTAACAAAAAGTGTCGTATTCTCTAGTATGTAAAACTCTTTGATCTCACAACTTTCTTGGAACGTCCTAACCAAGAGAGGCCCCGGCGGATGCAATCTCAGCCCTTCTTTAACGACCGCCCAAAAAAGGTAGGTTTGGTAGATCCGTTTCTCGAATCAGTCTTGTTTTTCCTACAACCGAATTGATTTCCTCTCTTAATCTCTCAAGAATGTTAGGATTGTTAATGATCTCAGCCATTGTCCACTGTGTTGTGCGCTGAGGTGTCAGAGCCTGCAATGAATATGTCCTGCAGTTTCTTAGTCAGAAAAACGCCATTTTGTCGTGAAACCTATAATGTGTCGTGAAAGAAGATTTAGTTTACCACAAACAAAGATTTGATTTGGTTCCTAGTGATCTTATACTCTGCATTTTCGTCTCGATAAGTTTCCAACAACAAATCCATCATGTCCCTATCTTGATGATCATCCAGTTTCTCTTCATGTTCCACAATAATCCTCTCCAGCAACTCGTCAAATTCATGCGAAACTCCCATTAACTCCTTCTTAAACAGTGAAATTCCAAGCTTCTCAAGAGGCTTACGAAACACCTATGCAACAAAAATCTTCTTTGTTAAGGCAACCGACTTGATAACCAATTCCCTGACTCTCTCTGCCTCACCGTTTTCCTCTGAACAACTCCTCCCCATGCTCATCCTGCAGATCATGTTGTTAGTGAGCTTCATCGCTTCCTTAACCATCTCAACGCTCTCCGTCTTCATCGCCTTATCGAGTATATTAAAGTAAAATCGCTCTAACTCCTCTGCACGGATGCCTTGTGACTGCTCGATTGCGAAGAAGCTTTTTGGCAAGGAGCTTCTTCATGAATTTCCAGTAATCTCCATAAGGAGCAGTAACCAAACTGGAAGATCCGAACACAAGAGACTCACCGTTGGCAATCACACCGCGAGATGAGATGTTTACGTCGTGCGGCCTGTAGATCTCGTAGGCCATGGAGGCAGAGGATACAAGGACTATGGGAAAGCTGAAGATTCAAAGATAAAGAAGAGGTCCATACTTGGTGGAGATATTCTGAAAAGACTTGTGGAATAAAACAGAGAGAAGAAGGTGAAGATGACCGATGATCGGCAGAGACGGAGGGCTCGGAGGTAGATGTAAGTCAACTTGTGAGTTCTTTCATTTCTTTAAGAAGACATAGCAAGAGAAGAGTGAGAACAAACAGAGGAGAGTGAAGATGAAGCAGTTTTGAAAGTCAACGAAGATCATTGTTGCCATTATTTCTCAAAAATGAAAGAGGAAGATGAAACATAATCAAGAATCCATTAATGTAATAGTTACATTTGCATTTATGTTTATCATAAAAACTCTCTCAAACTATATAATTTCATAATCATATCATTGTAATAGTTACATTTGCATTTAACTAGAAACCCTTTTTCAAAAAAAAAAAAAAAATCCATTAATGTAATATATGAGTATGGGACCAACCATGCTTTGTTTATTATTACATTAAAATATGGAAGAACGTGAAATTAACGGACTAGTTGGCACTCTTATCAAAATGATTATATTTATAATTAAATGGCAAGGCGAGGAACATAGAGGTTCAAGATTGACTCATAATGTCCCTCATTGCGAGGGCCGGCCCTCGGTTGATGCCGGTTGCGTTATGCATAAAAAAATATTATAAATTTATAGGTTTTGAAGGGGCATCAAAAAAAAATTTCAAGCTTTGAAAGGGCATTGAATTTTATTTTTGTGTTAGGCATCAGTGCTTTAGAGACCGGCCCTGCTCATTGTTATATATCTGAAATGTTCAAAAACCTGTTAAGTACTACACATAATCATTAAACTCATCGACAAAGCGGTCCAAAACAGGATTAGCTCCATTCGCAGTCTGGATGGTAGCTATGACGATGATCTCGTCATTTGGTTTGGTTCACGAGCTTAATACCCAGCGGACAGGATGGACATTGATTGATCAATACTCTGTTGTTTTAGCATGTTGATATTAATTTTTTGAGTTTAATGAAACACAAGACGCATTTGAATAAATTTTACATTCTTTTC